CGCTTTCACAACGAAGCACACAGCGCCTTCACGACATGGCGGCGGCAACAACAATACTACAGCGAGAATAAAAGTTACGCCTTCTTTCTTTGCGTGAACATTTGGGCGGTGTTATGCAAATCTTCCCACATAGTGACATAGGTATGTGGGGGCGTGTTAGAACGAGCCATTTTAGGTAGGTGTGGCTGACTCTTAACTTTTATAAAGAATATCTCTTTGGATTTGAGACTTTGCAACTTTACAGATCTTCTTTATGCACCAAGAGCTTGTAACACTCCGAAGAGAAAGGAAAAATTTAAATCGCATCATATGACCCCTTTAATATACTTCCGGTGAAAAGTTTGAAATAATTACGATTTTTTAAAAAGTCTCTTCTGCTCACCAAAGCTAAAAAAACACAGTAAAAACAGTAATATTGGGAAATGTTATTTCCATGTAATTTAACTAATTTAGTTTTCTGTGTGTATACATTGTAAAATGTAATTTATTCCAGTGATGCCACTCCAGAATATTAGAATGGTTTCTGAAGGATCGTGTGACACTTAAGACTAAAGTAATGATGCTGAAAATTCAGCTTTGCATCAAAAAAGTAAATTACATTTTACAATGTATTCAAGTAGAAAACAACTATTTTAAATAGTAATAAGATTTCACAATATTTCTTTTTTTTTTTACTATATTTTTGATCAAATAAATGCAGACTTGATGAGCAGAAGAGGCTTTTTTCAAAACCATTAAAAAAATCTAGATTTAATAGTGACATGCAAACTAAAGTTAATAGTTGGCCTCTATCAGCATACAGAACCTTTTATAACAACTATCAGGAATTTTTGCAAGCTACAGGATGTTTTCATCTCCTTTCTACACTTTTTTTTTTCCCTCCAAATGATGTTTTGCAGGTTTGACCATGATAATATGAATATATGTATGCAGATTGAAGCATCTCTTACTACATGATTCAGAAATTAATTCTCATGTTTTCTTCTTTGCCTGTGATCTGACCTGGTCAAACACATGCAGATTAGAGCAAAAATAAACCACACTGTTACTAATGCTGGAGATGTGTGTGTGTGTGTGTGTGTGTGTGTGTGTGTGTGTGTGTGTGAGAGAGAGAGATATTCTTCGATGTCGTGGTGTTGTTGCTATGGTTACACATTTCCTCATCTCTTAAGTGTTTTTATGAGTTTAATTACATTCATATTGTGTTTTGGTTTGAAAAGCTCCAGAGAATTTGAGATTATTAATGTGAGTTTCTCATGTAAGAAGCTTTTCTAGCGGACTTCTTGAAAGCATTTTGGGCAAGGACTTTTATTTGTTGGTTTTTAAAATATATTTCATGACACATTAGTGATGTATTAAAATGGTGTAGTGCATTTTGTTCAAACACACGGTGGCAGCAGAAGCTATCAATATTATGAGTTTTTGAGAGCTGAAACAATCCCGTATCTTAACATGATTTCCTGGTGGAAAACCTGTTTACAACAAAGTCATCGTTATAATGGTAACTATAAAGTTTAATAGTTCAGTCATTCTTGAGACATGGGACAAAACAGGTCCAGCAAGGGTAACTGCTATTAGGTTTAAAAAAACTAATATTTTCAATTTTAAATGTCATGAGGGATAAATAATAGAATGTATTTAACACAATTATCACCTTCAATTTAATTTTCTCATTAGTATACCAAATCTATGTTTCTTAATGTCCTCTCACTACGTCTAAAACAGTGTGTCCACAGAGAAGGGTTCAAGCATTCATATGCAATAAAATGGATAAAAATGTTTTTTTTTAATGATGAAAAAGAGCTTGTTTTATCGAGTTATTATAATTCCATGGCAATAGTAAAACTCACACCGCAACTGTAAGGATATCGTTGGAATCACTTTCATAACGACTATTTCCAGCTGATAAATGATAAAAACATTGTCAATCAGAATCCACCTGACTTTAAAGAGCGCGAAAATTTAAGCGGCAAATGACGTAACTGAGGATAAAAGGGACGTTAACGATAAAAGGGTCGTTTTTGGTCTGATAAAAGCAGTTTTCTTTTTGACTTGAATGACTTTTTGTGAATGATTCATCAGTCAAAAAGTTAATTTTTTATAATGTTCATCAAAATGTAATAACCTGCTCCACATATCAAACAGCCTTCCTTTGCAGCTTTGTTTGGATCATGCTAGTTTGTCGCTGGTCCAAGACGGCCTTCAGTCTCCGGTAACCTTACAGTGACTGTACTAGTCAGAAGATTGTTTATTAGTTGTACATTTTCGGAAAGAAAATTAAGTTTGAAGTTTGAATAGTAAGTTGTGTTGGTCACATGTCATTGGGTGATTTTGAAGTGGTTTATGGTGGGTTACGGTGGTCTGAGCTTCACTGTAGACACTGGTAACGAGTTTCTCGATCAACATCTATATCACTTGATCTCCAAGATGAGGCTTCTAATGGATGTCTGACACCAGAGATGGGCACAATTACATCAAAAAGTATTTAGTTACAAATTACAAATACTTGCTCATCAATTGTATTTAATTTAAAGTACAAATAATTTGTCATTTGAAAATACAATATTTACAAGCAATCAAGCTCAAGAGACAGTGCCATTACATTTAGATACACATATAAGAGACCAATAAGTGCTTTCCCCTCCTTGAACAACTTCTAAACAACATATTCTTTAACACTACACAATATATCCAATATACTGATCCATATTTCTTCTCATTTCTGTTTACTTGATTACCATCAATTACACTTTTTTCATGTTTCTTTATTGCTCCTTTATCGTTTCTTTGTAAGCATGTCAAAAATTAAGCAGTCCTGCAAAACTGTATTGTCATACCACCTAATCCTACTCGAAAGAATGACTCAAACTATTTTACTGTCAACAGTAAAGATTAACTCCTGAAAATGTTGATATTTAGCTGTTAAAGGGCTCTATGTAGAATACAGAAACCCTTGTTATTAGCGACACCTAATAATTAGTCTACAAGCTTTCATTTTTTAAGTTTCGTTACATGCTGTTCAGACATTGACAATAATATTTATTTTCATTTAACACTTGAAAAATGTCCCTTTGTCTATAGAAACAAGTAGCTGACTTTTGCCAAGCAAACTAACGTCACTTGTCAGCTAGCAAGTCAAGTTCTAGAGCAGCTTTTTCTTCTGTCTTGTAATAACATTCAGTGAGCAATATCTGATAGTATATATTTTAATACATATTTAGCGCACAAAACAGCTTCTTTAATTTTTTTGCAGTTGGAAGATGGAACCATGGACAAATTAAAGGTTTCTTTCTCTCAAAAATGGAAATTCTGTCATTAATTACTCACCCTTGTGGCGTTTCACACCTGTAAGAGCTTCATTCCTCTTCCAAACACAAATGGAGATCTTTTTGATGAAATCTGAGAGCGTTCCCTCCATAGGCTGCAACGCAACTTATACATTCAAAGCCCAGAACGGTAGGAAAGACATCATTAAAGTTACTCTATGTGACTTCAGTGTTTAACCTCAATTTTTTAAGTGACGTGAGTGCTTTGTTTGCACAATAAAACATAATTTACAACTTTATTTATGAAAATATTGATCTGCATTGTGTGTTCACGAGAGCAGTAAAACGCATTTGTGTTGTGTTCATGCCATAGTAGAATACAGAAACCCTTGTTATTAGCGACACCTAATAATTAGTCTACAAGCTTTCATTTTTTAAGTTTCGTTACATGCTGTTCAGACATTGACAATAATATTTATTTTCATTTAATACTTGAAAAATGTCCCTTTGTCTATAGAAACAAGTAGCTGACTTTTGCCAAGCAAACTAACGTCACTTGTCAGCTAGCAAGTCAAGTTCTAGAGCAGCTTTTTCTTCTGTCCTGTAATAACATTCAGTGAGCAATATCTGATAGTATATATTTTAATACATATTTAGCGCACAAAACAGCTTCTTTAATTTTTTTGCAGTTGGAAGATGGAACCATGGACAAATTAAAGGTTTCTTTCTCTCAAAAATGGAAATTCTGTCATTAATTACTCACCCTTGTGGCGTTTCACACCTGTAAGAGCTTCATTCCTCTTCCAAACACAAATGGAGATCTTTTTGATGAAATCTGAGAGCGTTCCCTCCATAGGCTGCAACGCAACTTATACATTCAAAGCCCAGAACGGTAGGAAAGACATCATTAAAGTTACTCTATGTGACTTCAGTGTTTAACCTCAATTTTTTAAGTGACGTGAGTGCTTTGTTTGCACAATAAAACATAATTTACAACTTTATTTATGAAAATATTGATCTGCATTGTGTGTTCACGAGAGCAGTAAAACGCATTTGTGTTGTGTTCATGCCATAGAAGACTTGCATCAACACAACGCACATGAGTGAGTGTTCAACATGTGGATAAATGTTTGGATAATAGTTTTGGAAATAAAGTGGTCAATTATGTTTTTGGTGCAAAAAAGCACTCACGTCACTTAATAAAATTGGATTACTTAATGATAAATTTAATGACATGGATTACTTAATGATGTCTTTCCTACCGTTCTGGACCTTGAATGTGTACGTTGCATGACTGACTGTAGAGGGACAGAAAGCTCTCGGATTTCATCAAAAATATCTTAATTTATGTTCCAACACAACGCACATGAGTGAGTGTTCAACATGTGGATAAATGTTTGGATAATAGTTTTGGAAATAAAGTGGTAAATTATGTTTTTGGTGCAAAAAAGCACTCACGTCACTTAATAAAATTGGATTACTTAATGATAAACTTAATGACATGGATTACTTAATGATGTCTTTCCTACCGTTCTGGACCTTGAATGTGTACGTTGCATGACTGACTGTAGAGGGACAGAAAGCTCTCGGATTTCATCAAAAATATCTTAATTTATGTTCCAAAAATGAGCGAAGGTCTTACAGGAGTGGAAAGACACGAGGGTAAGTAATTAACAACAGATTTTTTTGGGGTGGGGGGTGGGGTTGTGAAAGAACACAATATACAAACCTGAAATGTCCAGAAGCCTGGTATTGAGGAAGGGGCACATTCGGGACTGGTTCCGCTTCAGGATCAAAGACACCATAATCCCAACGGTCTTAGAGAGACCAGTGAAGAGCTTGGGGAAGTGGTATAGGGCAGACCTCAATGATAAGTGGGGTGGGAGGGAGATGATTATCCAAGTAGACACCTGGATGACATCCTTAGAGAAGAGCGGCCTGCCTACCTGGCAAATACAAGGCCTGGGGTTACCAGCATGGGGTACTTCCTAGACTGCTCTGGCGTCTGCTTGTTTATGAGGTACCTGTCTCTACCGTCAAGGGATTGAAGAGAAAGATTAACACCTAAGGAGGTGGCTGGGTGTCCCAAAAAGCTTCTGTTCCATTGGCGTGTACAGCACAGGCAGCAAGCTGCAGCTGCCAGTGACATCGGTGCTCGAGGAGTATAAAGCAACGAAGACATGCCAGGCCATGATGCTGCGAGACAGCAAGGACGAAAGAGTATGCCAGGCAGGCACTGTGGTCAGGACAGGTCTTAAGTGGTCAGCCAGCAGAGCACTGACGGAGGCTGAGGATTGGCTGCAGCATGCCGACATCATTGGGACAGTAGCTCAGGGCAGGCTTGGGCTGGGTTGCTTCACCAGAACGAGCTGGAACAAAGCTGACTCAAAGGAACGCCGCAGCATGATACAGAGGGAGGTCCGTAAGGCAGAGGAGGAAACCATGAAAAAACAGGGCAGCTGGACAAGGTGGGAGGGCGTATGAGAAAGGGCCCTGACATGGCAGGATGTTTGGACCATGGAAGGACGCCGGATAAAGTTCTTGATGTGTTCTGTCTACGATGTTCTGCCTAGTCCATCAAACCTCCATATTTGGGGGATGGCAGAGAGCCCCAGCTGCACATCATGTGGAAAGCAAGCCAACCTTGAACATGTCCTCTCAGCATGTCAGTCAAGTTTGGCAGATGGGAATATGATAAGTTCCTGTCTCAGTTGGCGGATGGTGTGGAACAGGCAAGGAAGAAGGTTAAATAACTTCCCGACGGGCACCATTTTATCCAGTTCGTCAGGACAGCAGAGAGCACTGCAGCAGGACGGAGGAGTAGAGGGGTCCTGGACTCAGCAAATGATTGGGAGATGCGGGCAGACCTGAAGAAGCGGCTCAAATTCCCAGAGGAGATAGCACACACTAGCCTCAGACCGGATATTGTCCTCTGGTCTAGAGGCACCAAGCAGGTGGTGCTCGTAGAGTTAACAGTACCCTGGGAAGAAAGGATGGAGGAGGCCCACGTATCAAAGTATTTAATTACAAATTACATTAGATTTTTTTTGTCCAGCAAAATACAAAATACATATTTATTTAGTAATTACATATGTATTTCAAATACATTTAATTAAAATACTGCCCATCACTGAAGTTCGTATTTATTCTTTGGAGTCTCCAAGTATCAGTTACACACAAACATTGATAAAAAAGCAACAACAAGAGTTTCTCAAGGCAAATGGTGAATGGTGGCTAGACAGCCTTTAAAAAAAGTTTAAACAAGTGTGAAGGTTATGTAACTCTTATGTGATTTGGTTCTTGACCAGAAAGATTGAGTGGAACGGAGCAGACGTTTGAAGGACAGACAGATGTCAAGCAACATTAAATGTTTATTAAAGTTTGAATGAACACAGAAAATATTTTTTTTCCCTTGTCTCATTTACCTTACTCAACTTATAACTGAAGTTTAGTCGTATAACCAAATTAGCGGAGTCATTTGAACTCAATAAATAAATAAATAGTTCAACCAAAAATTTAAATTGACTCACCTTCAAGCCATTAAGACGGAAATTAGTTTTTTTTTTCATCAGATTTAGCAAAAGTTACCATTAAATCACTTGCTCACCAATTGATCTTCTGCAGTGAATGGGTGCCATCAGAATGAGAATCCAAACAGCTCATAAAAACATCACAATAATCCACAAGTAATCCACACCACTCCAGTCCATCAATTAACCTCTTGTGAAGTGAAAAGCTGCATGTTTGTAAAAAACAAATGCGTGAAGATGTTTTTAACTTCAAACCGTTCCAGCTAAAATAAAAGCTATAATCCATAATAACGTTTCCTCCAGTAACAAAGTCGTCTTATCTGAATCAGGAGAGAAATATGCACAGATCAAGCAATGTTTACAAGCCAAAACAGTTTTAAGCAAATATGTGATTGGATTTTGAGAGGACAACAGGGGATGGACTTTGTTACTTGAGGAAGTGTTATTATGGATTATGGACTTGTATTTTAGCCAGAAGCGATAGTTTGAAATGAAAACATCTTGATAATAGATTTATATTTCTTACAAGCATGCAGCTTTCGCTTCACCAAATGTTAACTGATGGACTGGAGTGGTGTGGATTATTGTGATGTTTTTATCTGCTGTTTGGACTCTCATTCTGACGGCACCCATTCACTGCAGAGGATCCATTGCTGAGCAAGTGATGGAATGCTACATTTCTCCAACATTTCTTTACAGTGTTCTTTAGTTCATGACTTTCATCTTTTATCTCCCTGCTTGTCCGTAAACAAACATGTTGCTAGGCAACAGGCCCCTGCAGTCGTGCTGGTGGTGGTTGTTAACGGAGGGTCTCGAGCCAGTATTGTTCCTGAAACGCTCCCCTCCCCCTGAACCAGGAGTCTGAAACACTCTTCTCCAGCGGGAGGAGGAGACACTGGCTTTATGAAGGCCACAGCACTTACGGGAACGAATAAAGAACACATTCCTATAGTCCATCCTAAAGGAATGTTTACACCATTCCCTTATAAACTTCTATTTTCTCATCTGGGTCTCGTCAAATGTTTGTTCTAAAAGAATGTTTCTCAACAACAACAAAAAAAATTGTCTTTAATGTCTCCTACACAGTAGTGACATTAAATACTGGCTTTTGTTAAGATATTCAGATATTTCTCCTTAGGAAAAAATACTCTCCTCTAGAGTTTCAGGAGAATCTCATTATAGCCTCAAACTGCAGATTTGCAATCGAAAGTCAGAGATCTCAGTATGAACATTTCTCATCAAATCATCTGAGCTGCTATTCAAATTCATTATGTGAACTTCCCTGCTAACAAAAATATGTTTTGCTAATGTACCATTAAGTTATTCAAAATGTCAAGTTTTTAAAAGGTTTTATTTTTGGAACATAAAGGGAGCGTTCCATATTATCATTTTGCGAACATAGTAGGAATGTTACTTTTGAACATTTTCTGAACATTCTGAAACAACTAGTAACATTTAAAAAATGTCTCTGAAAAAAGTAGCGTTATTCAAAATGTCCAGTTTTTTAAGGTCTGGTTTCAGGGCTTAGACTAAGCCAGGATTAGGCCTTTAAATTAAAGGGGTCATATGATGCGATTTCAATTTTTCCTTTCTCTTAGGTGTGTTACAAGCTCTTGGTGCATAAAGAAGATCTGTAAAGTTGCAAGACTAAAGTCTCAAATCCAAAGAGATATTCTTTATAAAAGTTAAGAGTCGGCCACGCCTACCTAAAACGGCTCGTTCTAACACGCCCCCACATGTCTACCTCACTATGTGGGAAGATTTGCATAACGCCGCCCAAATGTTCACGCAAAGAAAGAAGGCATAACTTTTATTCTCGCTGTAGTTTTGTTGTTGCTGCCGCCGCCATGTCGTGAAGGCGCTGTGTGTTTCGTTGTGAAAGCGAAACTACTTTGTTTGGCCTTCCAAAAGAGGATGATATCCGTTTCGTCATGCCTAGAGCTTATCCGTGCTGGTTGTTGAGGAAATACTACAACTTCGTGCTGTGGATCGCCGGATCAGCTTTCACCGTGGACGAAGCGGAGTCCAGCCCGGAGTCGTCACATGTGGTTGCTGCAAGCCCGCCGGACACTCCTTCGTCGAATCCGCCGGCCGCACCGTTCTCGAGCCGGTCTCCGCTCACTCTAGCCCGCTGTGTGTGACGCTGTGTTTTGTTGTGAAAGCAAAACTACTTTGTTTGACCTTCCAAAAGTGGACACGACTAGAAATCAGTGGTTAAATTGTATTTACAACACTGTTCCAGAACACTTCAACCCAAATATTCAGATGTGTGCAGCACATTTTATGGAGGACCGTTTCCTGATCCTGGGAGAGAAGACTACAATGCCGGCTGTTCTGACTCACAGACTGTAAGTACGTTTTTTTATATTTAAAGAATTTGCCACTGACGATTCAAACGCGAGTTTTGAGCAGTGTAGAGTAGCACTTGTTGTTTGTCATTTCTCCGATCACAAATGCAGACATGGTTTTATGTTTACGCGGCGCGATGCAACGCAACGCGTAAAAAGACAGTATAAGTCATTATAATCCATAATTATATCCCCACTGGATGCAACAAATGCCTAGTTTATAATGGGTTTTCATGTTTTTGTCTCGTCGCTCCGGCCCGGGACACGCCATCACAATATGGTAAGGGGCATAGCATTCCCGTCACACGCTTGAGGTATTCGGCCAATCACAACGCACTGGATAGCTGGCCAATCACAGCACACCTCGCTTTTCAGACCGATGAGCTTTGTAAGAATCGACGCTTTTCAGAAAGGCGGGGCATAGAGGAGAAACAATAATGTACAGTATGTGGAAAATAATGTGTTTTTTTAACCTTAAACCGCATAAACACATTTCATTACACCAATACACAAAATAATGTTCTTTTTAGCAACATCATATGACCCCTTTAAGACATTTAAGCAGTGGGTCACGCTTTATTTTAAGGTCCGATTCTCACTATTAACAAACCATTAACTATGACTTTTGCCTCAATAAACTAAACCCCTAATTTGCTGCTTCTTAATAGTTAGTAAGGTGGTTGTTAAGTTTAGGTATTGGTAGGATTACCAAATAGGGATGTAGAATAGGGTCATGCAGAGTATGTGCTTTATAAGTATTAATAAACAGTCGTGATACTCTCGTGAATGGCAGCTGACTGACCCAGAAGAGATTTTTGTTGTCTGCACACAAAAAATATTTCGTAGCTTCATAACATTACGGTTGAACCACTGATGTCACATGGACTATTTTATTGATGTCCTTACTACCTTTCTGTACCTTGACCATGGTAGTTCCATTGCTGTCTATGCAGGGTCAGAAAGCTCTCGGATTTCATCAAAAATATCTTAATTTGTGTTCCGAGGATGAACAAAGGTCTTACGGGTTTGGATGAGGGTGAGTAATTAATGACAGATTTTTCATTTTTGGGTGAACTGTCTCTTTAATAATAGGCACACTAACAAGCAACTAGTTAATAGTGAGAAATGGTCACCATACTAACGTGTTACAAAGACATTTTTTTTTAAATGTGCCTTTTAGAAAAAATATATACTGGTGTGCATCTTGATACAAATCAATGGCAATGACAGATTTTAAGATATGTTAGTGCAATCAGTTAAACCTTGTCTGTGAAACCAGGCATAAATGTTTTAAAAACATTTTTATTCGTTATGCGAACGTTAAGGGAATATTCCATTTGACTGCATTATGGGAATGTTACTTTTGAATATTTTATGAACATTCTGAAGCAAGTAGTGACATTTCAAAAAAGGTAAAAAAAATAAACCTTCCATGAACCCTGTATGTTTTTATGCTGACATTAATAAAGACCAGATAACGCTGAGCAAACATTCTATTAACGTTGCCGTTCAGAACTTTGAGAGAAAGTTCTCTGTTAGCTGGGTGGTGACTCATTTGAGCCTCTTTTATTTTAAGAGAAACAACAGTGATACAAAAGTTCTCAGCTGTGTCTCATTGAGATTGTTCTGTGGTCATGTGATCTGAGAGGGGTGTGATGTGCTGTATTACTCTGTTCTGAGGTGTGTGTGTGTGTGTGTGTGTGTGTGTGTGTCTCAGGGCCCCTCTTTTTCTAAAGCGTATTTTGTGTGTATATGTGTGTATTTATGTATTTGTCTGCAAATGTATATTTATTTGTCTACATATAGTATAATTTAGAAACAGACTATATAGAAAATTTGTAAACAGCGCAATATCAACAAAATGTGGTTTTATAAATGCAAATTATGTAATATAATGTAATATTTAAATTCCATTTATATTTTTTTATATTTTGTATCATGTATAATTAAATATATTTTACAAAATATATTTTGTTATAATTTTATTATAATGTTTTAATATAAAATATGGGGTATAAATCTTTCTTTCTCTTTGTCTTAAGCTCCTGCAGAAGGTTCTGGACTGTCAGGTGAGGAGTTCTTCCAGAAGGTAAGAAACCGAAAGAGTTCAAATAAACTTCTAATATTATTGATATTATTATTGTCATTGGTATTTTATTATATTTTTTGTTAATATTTTGAATTTTTTTTTTTGCGGTTTTCTGGTCTTTTGTTAATTAAGGAGAAAGAAAAAAGTCACTGAAGTGATTTTGTCCCAAACACACAGAACGGGTTTGCTGTTATGAAGGCAAAACTAAGAGCTTTGAGATGCTAATGAGCCATTGTCTCTGTTGAATGGAGGATGTGAAGATGCAAATTGAGTGTCTTCTGAATGTGAGTTTCTCTTCCTCGCACACTCATTGTCTCAGGTGATGAGAGAAACACACACCCAGGTGAAATGGCCATCCAAGCTGAAGATTGGTGCCAAATCAAAGAAAGGTGAGTGCTGTCACACTCCTGTCATTATTTATTCACCCTCATGTTGGTCCAAACCTAAAAAGAGACGTTTAGTTGAATGTCCAGGCTGCTGTTTTACATACAATGACCAAAACGTTCCAAAGCACCATAAAGGTGTCCTAAAACTAGTAAGCATGACCCATGCACTGTATTCCTGGTATCTGGTTACGTGCAATTGCCTTTGCCATTATTGACAGCTCACCTGACGCAATGCAGTTTCATGCAGCAAGTCTGAATATGCAGATGAGGTTTAAGCTAAAGTTATATGGGTTAAAGCACAAAGTGTGCTTTGGTTTTTATGCGTAAACAAGATTTAGTTTGGGGACATAATTTGTATTTATTATTTATTTATTTTACTATAAATGCAAAATGCTCTCTTTTAGGATTGGGGCAGTTGTTATAAACTAAATATAAGACATTTATGTTAATTGAAATAAAAGAAACCATCTGAAATAAAATCTAAAAAACTTATTTTTATTTCAGTTAGGTGCCAAGACAACTTTTCTCATTTTTGTTTAGTTAAAGCTGAAGTACAAAAATTACAAAAAAAAAAAAGAAAAAATGAAAAGAAAAGAAAAAAAAAAATATATAAAAAGATATGTTTAGAAAAATACTTTAATATTTTTTTTTATATATATTTTTTAGTATTTTCTTTTTTTTATCGTCTGTAGTTTTTTTCTCAACTGACCGTTCGCAGCAAGCTTGATTGACAGGCAATCTGACCAATCAGAACGCAGATATTATGTGCCGCCGCTGCTATCCGCCATCTTGCCCGACAGCTATGGCCGGTCTCCATAGAAATCCATGTTCAAATTGGGTAAAAAAAAAGACTGAATTGAAACTTTTTTAATATATCTAAAGATAAAAATGTGCGGAGGATTAAGCTGGGCTGTTGTTAGCTGCCACAGTAAAAAATGTAAGTTAGCGCTTAAGTTAAAAACTGAGTGTGAAATAATAAAATTATATGTTAAAACGTATTCTGTGGACACAATCCCGTGAACTTCGCCCCGATCGGGAGCTCATCTGTTTCAATGCAGCTAACCTCGCTTCATGTCATCTTCCCACTCATTAAACTATGACAGGTCCTTTACTGCAAAAAGACGGTCACTACGGTCACTTTCATCTCTAAATGATGAAACTATGGTGCCATGTGCTTTTTTAGAACCATTTTCATAGGTTTCACGTTATATTGGCTTGGAAAATATGTAAATGTGCATGCCCAGTAGCTAGCTAGGGTTAGTTCACCCAAAAATGAAAATTACCCCATGATTTACTCACCCTCAAGATGTCCTAGTTGTATATGACATTCTTCTTTCAGACGAATACAATCGGAGTTATATTAAATAATGTCCAGACTAATCCATGCTTTATAATGGGAGTGGATGGTAGCCCAAAATTTGAAGTCCAAAAACTTGCACACATCCATTATAAAATAATATATCTTTTATATCTTCTTTTATTTTTATTTCATTTGATTTTAGTATTATTTTCATTTGATTTTTTTAATTAATTTAAATGTTTTATTTTATTTCAGTTGGTTGCGTCTTCATGCACCAAGTTTGAATATGCAGATAATATTATTATTTTTATAGCAACTATTTACTTTCTCAACAAATGTTTTAGTAAGTGTAATAACATGCACCGATGAATTGTTCACAATAAAATCAAAGGGGAAACTTTTTTTTTTTTCATAATATTTTGAAATGTAATGACTATCTCCATCTCTTAAATGATTTTTCTTTACTGCTGACAAAAATAAAGGCCATTTTTTATGATCCCAATCCACACATTTTCCACTGAATATGGAGTTATAGAAGTAAAATGCATTGTGATGATTTGTGTATTTCTGTTCAGATCCTCATGTGAAAGTGGAGGGGAAGAGAGCAAACGTTCTGGAGGCCAAACGCAAGATTTTGGAGCTTCTAGAGACTAAGGTGAGGTTTGAGCTTCCTTTGATTTCTCTGTTCATCTGCCCTGTGGCGATCTCACAGCAGCCCACCTATGCACAGGTGAATAAAGTCACGCTGAAGATGGACGTCACACACACGGAGCACTCTCATGTGATCGGGAAAGGAGGCGGGAACATTAAGAAGGTCATGGAGGACACTTCCTGCCACATTCACTTCCCCGATTCCAACCGGAACAACAGCGCAGGAGAAAAGAGCAACCAGGTACTCACTTCCCTCACTGTTGTAGCATACTGCTGTACACACTACACACTACGTGATTCATTTGAGTTTTATATGCAAATGTACGTAAGTAAGTATATACCTGCAGGTGTCAATCGCTGGGCCGGTTCAGGGGGTGGAGTCTGCCAGGAGACAGATCCGGGTCAGTGACTAACATTAATATTCAAGATATATGAAACATGTGGATTCAAACATGTGAATTTATAATCAGTATTCATATATTTAGATTTTTTTTTCTTTTATTTATTTATTTTAAAAGATTTTTAATATTGTTTAAGATGTGTCTTGGTTATATATCACCTCATAATTTGAAAGAAAGAAAGAAAGAAAGAAAGAAAGATCAAGACCATAAAAGGGTAATTAAACGCATTTTGTGAGGTATCAACTGATATGTATAGGTTGCACATCACTGAAAACAATATTATCACTCATTATTATTATCTATAAGAAATAGGTGTATTTTTTTCTTTCGGATAAGTTTTTGTTTGTGTTTTTTAATAGTATCTATTTTTTTTAATCTGTTTTAGTTTTTACTTTATTTAGTTTTAGTTATTTTAGCAAGAGAAGAAAAAAAGAGAAATGTTGCCTTGGCAGCTAACTGAAATAAAATAAGTTTAATTTTATATTATATTTTTTATATTTATATTATATTTTTATATTTTGTTTTATTTCAAGTAACATTTTATTCTTTAGTTTAGATTTTTTAGTTTTTTTTGTTGTTGATGTAATTATATTTAGATGATAATAACCCTGACAACTATCATATATAATCTTATAACGTAATGTTAATTTGAATTTATTAATACAATATTACAAATTAATGTTATAATATATAAATAATTAAAACATTTGTAAAGTATTTATACTTTATGGTAATTTCTGTTATGCTACCTTTAACTTTTATGATGCTTAAAAAAAAAAAATATATATATATAGTACTACAGCAATTAATTTTTATGACCATTAAGTTACTTAAATTTTTATATTATTTTTGTGATAATTTAATACATTTTAATATTTAATTAACATAATAATTACAATATAAATAATATACATATATTAAAATAAACTATTAATATATAATATCAATATTATATAACATATAATAAAATATTAAATTATAATATCAATATTAATACATTCATATAATATTACATATTCATATATAAAAATATAAATTTGTAAAGTTTTTATGCATTATGGTAGTATTTGTCATGCTACTTTTTATGCTGATTTACATTTTTTTAAATACTGTACTATAATAATGAAAATCTAAGCAGAATCACCATTACGAAAAATAAAATGTGACTCATTCTAATAAATATTCATTATATTCAAATATATGGCTTTGTATTCAAGATTCATATATTTAGATTCAAATATGTGTTTTACGGGTGTGTGCACGTGAATCTGATTTGCAGGACCTGCAGCCCCTGGTGCTGGCCTTTGACCTGCCTGTGACCCTTGTGGGAGGTGTGGTGTGTGACACGGGCTCGCCGGTGATTCAGCACGTGGCTCAGGCGTTCGGAGTGAGCGTCAGCTTCAGGACGCAGCCCAAACTCTACTGCAGCACCTGCAGCGTGAGAGGAACGCAGGGAAACGCCACTGCCGTCAAGGTGACGCTCACCATCACACACGACATTACGCCGCATGCAGCATCAATAACTGACCTTTGACCTCTGCAGAAGGCCACCTGCGTCCTGATGGAGCTGCTGCTGGGCGCGGAGGCACTGGCCGGAGTAACGGGGGTGATGGTGAGCACACAGCTGGACGTGACCTCGCAGCAGCACCTGTTCCTGTTGGGTCAGAACGGAGCCAACTTCCTGACCGTCATGCATCAGACGCACACGCAGATCATCCTGCCCGACCTCAGCGCTCCGCAGCACACACCCTCGCTGCTGATCCAGGGCACGGCCGACGGAGTGTGTGTCGCTCGACAGCAGCTCATGGTACAGACCTGTGTGTGTGTGTGTGTGGTGAGCTCAGTTTGGGGATATAATGGTCACAAGAAGTGAGATATAGTGTTATTTTAGTGTAAAAATTCTACAATAGTTTTTATTAATATTTTGAATTTTTTTTTTTTTTTGTGTTTTTTAATAAAAAAAATTAGTATTTTTGTTGTTTTGTAATTTTTATTTTATTTTTAAAAAAATGTCTACAGTATATAGTTTTTATAATTTTTTTTAATTTCAGTGTTAGTTTTAGTATATTTCTTTGCTTCAAGCTTTTGAAATGTTGCTTTGTCAACTAACTGTAATAATAAATTGAAAAAGAAAATACTCATAAGTTAATTTTTTTTTAATTTTTTTTTTAAATCTATAAATGCAAAATGTTTTTTAGGGTTTAGGCTAATCCAGTGTTGTTAACATAAACTAGAACTAAAAAAATTGATCAGAATAGAATAGAAAAAACTAAATGATAATTTAAATAAAATAAACTTTAATTGAAATAAAGTATAACAAACATTTTTTTTTTGTGCTGGGCAACGATTAATCGCATGTACTGTGTATATTTATTATGTATATTAGTGCTGTCAAACTATTAATTGCGATTAATCGCATCAAAAATAAAAGTATTTGTTAACATAATATATGTGTGTGTGTTGTGTATATTTAAGAAAAATATGCTATGTTTATATATTAAATGTATTTATATATAATATAAATGATATGAACGTAAATAAATACATGTAAATACATGTAAATATTTTCAAAATATATTCTGTATTTGTTTATATTTTTATAAACATAACAAGTATACACACATATATTATGTAAACAAAAACTTTTGTTTTGGATGCGATTAATCACGATTAATCATTTGCCAGCACTAAAATACGCACATATACACATATACACATGCACATATTTAAGAAAAATCTTGTTATGCTTATATATTAAACACATTTGTATATAATATAAATTCTATTCATATAAATATATACATGTGAGTACATGTAAATATTTTCAAAATATATACTGTATGTGTGTGCTGTCAAACGATTAATCGCAATTAATCGCATCCGAAATAAAAGTTTTTGTTTACATAATATATGTATGTGTACTGTGTATATTTATTATGTATATATAAATACACACACATACAGTATATATATATATATATTTAAATATTTACATGTTTATAAATGTATATATACATATTCTTGTAGCTTATATTATATATAAATATATTTAATATATATAAACATAACATATTTTTCTTAAATATAGACATACATTTGTATTTATATATACCTAATAAATATACACCGTATACACACATATATTATGTAAACAAAAACTTTTATTGCATTAGGAAATATCAAAGCAAATGTCATTTAATGTGAAAATAGAACACAGACACACAATTCTGACAGGATTACAACGTACAGTATGCTTAGTATACAATAAACAATAGACATTTGTCATGAAGTACATTTCCTCTGCTATGAATGAATGAATGTGACACATCTGGATGAGACTATATCCATGAGTTGGTCTCCTGCTGGTGTGATGTGTGTGTGTGTTCTCGTTCAGGATTGTCTGCCCGTCTGCCTGATGTTTGATTTGAAGGATGAGGGAGAGTCTGACCCTCGGAAACTCACTCAGATGATGCAGAAACTGGGTGTTTTTATCAGCGTCAAACCCAAGATCAAGCAGACAGCAAAGGTACTGCAGCACAGCTCCCACAATGCACCTGTCACCAAACACTCATGCATACAAATTCATAGACTACAATTACGGTTTCATACTTTTATTTGCCGGGTCATCATCTTAGTGTCTGTTTCCAGTCGGTGGTCGTTAAAGGTTTGGAGAGGAACATCGGGAGTCTTTACGAGGCCAGACGTCTGCTGCTGGGCCTGGACTCCACTGAGGTTTCCATGACGACCAAGAATGTGTTTGAGGTGACGACCAAGACCCCGGTGGACCCTCTGGTGGCCAATAATGGAATCACAAGCTACTGGATTAATGTACTAATGCAGCAGCTGCGCCTCACTGAGACAGGTGTGTGTATGTGTGTTTGTGTGTGTGTGCTTTAGTTTCACTCATGCTTGTTTGTTTTGCTAAATGAATGGTATGTTTTGTGTATGTGTCAATCTTCAGGTGCTGTGCCCTCTCCTGATGCCATGATTGGCTCTCTCTCAGGGAAGCCCCGCCCCTTGCCTCCTCCCGGATTGGCTGTTTCCTCAGAAGATGGACGGTTAGGAATCAAAGGAGTGGAATCCAAATTAGAGAAGGTTTGGATGAACATGATATTAATGATGGACATACTAGTGTACTGTATGTATATCACCTGTCTAGAACATGTGTTTGACCCCATAATTAAAATAAAGTAAAATAAATAATAAAATAAAATAATAAAATAAATACATAAATAATAATAGGAAGAATGTTTTATTTATAAAATATAATTACTAAAATTATATCTAAATTAATTATATTATACAAATTATGAAATTTGTAATTTATTAAATACAAATATTTATTATAATAATTTTAATATTAAAATATATAAAATAGCTTTTAAAATTGTAAAGTATTCATACATCATTGGTGTATTATTTGCTGCTTTTAATTGTCATGCTGATTTAAATAATACTTAAAAATATTATTAAATATTAATATTACTATTAATATTTATTGTTCAAATGTAATGAGAATTATAAATAATTGGAATTACCAACAAAACTGTTTAAAACTCAAATTTTCAGGTTCATTATGATCAATAGGATTGAGAATACAAATTTGTTTGACTAATAATAATAATTTCATAATATTAAAAAAATTGTCATTTTAAATAAGGTAATTCTGCATTTTTACATGCAGATTTGTGTAAAAATGTCTTAAAATTTGGCAGTCTAGTCAAATAATGAGATGTAATAAATCATGGTTGATGTAATTTCCAGTTCCTTTGACACTTTGCAAATGGAAGAAATGGAAAGTCTCGTTGAATGCATTGAATTGTGATATACAGTACAGGATCTCAAACAGTGTATAGAAAGTTGTATAGAAATCTATAGGATCATACTAATTGATGAGTTGATTGTACGAACTTATATGCTACTTATATATCTTCTATTTAAATATCCATTTAATAAAATGCTAAAGTAATTTACATTGATTGACTGTAAACAGTAAACTTTGATCGTGTAATTGTATCAGATTCCAGAGACTGAGGATCAGCCGACACAAGCAGAGACGGTGCCTTGCGTCACGCCACTTGCGGAGGTCACAGAGGTCAGAGAGGTCGTCGTCAAGCCGACGGTCTCATCGAGGAGAGGCAGCCAATCAGAGGCCTCGAGGGAGCCGAAGCCGCCGCTCACGCCGGAGAGGTAAAAGCCTCTGTCCTGAACAGACAGCGTTTGGACAGACAGTCAGACAATGCTCTGGATTCTGGTCTAGAATATGTGTGTGTGTGTTTCAGGTCAGTGAGAGTGGAGGTGGATGGTGTTTATCTGAACAGAGACAGACGCTGTAGTTTGAGAATATTCTCATCTGTAGACGCTAATAATGAGGTAAAGCACTTTCACATTTTTAAAATGAAAAGAAAACTGCTTGTTGTAAATGTATTGCATCTACTGTATGAATAATTTTTCAGAAAGACAGGTCTAGTCAGATTTAACTCTCAGTTACAAATCACAAATAAAGTCCTTTGTCTTACTGGTTTATTGAAACAGTTTTTGTTTGCTGTTTATTTGAACAGGATCATGAATATGAGAGAAAGAAGCTTCTGGCAACTCAAGGTTTGTATGTTTTTTATTGTAGGACTTAAAACATTAGTGTGAAAAGACGATTGATAACTTGATATATAATATAATATAACAGAAAATAGTATATTAAAATAAAATATATATTACATTTTATATAGAATATATAATACAAATGATGAAGCAAATTTAAAAAATGTTTTTGCAGTGTGGCTTTATTTTATGATAATTAAACACATTTTTATTTATTAATACTACTACTACTACTACTAAGTCATCTAAAAATATATAAAATTATATAAAATATTATTGTATTAGAATATACTGTGTATGTTTTTGTCTTTTTATAATTTTATATATTTTTATATATATTTATTTTTAAATAGTATAATATAAGAATTATATTTTCGAATTTGTTCAGTTTTATATACTTTTATTTGACCTATGTACTGTATATTATGAATATAATATACTGTTTTTAAAATAGTAAATATTAAAATTAATTTATAGAAATATATACAAAATATTGATTTATCTTGTAAAGTGTTTATACATCATGGGTGCATTTATTATGCATTATAAAAAAGAAGCTTCTGGCAACCTGAGGTTGTTATTTTTTTCAGGACCACAGGACAGAACATTCAGGAAGCATTAGTGCAGTTTGATAACGGCTAATATTATTATATTAATTATATTATATTATATTAAAAAAATAATAATACTTGTTATATAATAATAATAATTGTAAATTTCATATTTACTCCAGAGTTGTACTGATCAAGATCAGCTCGACAGACTGATTTTCTACATAATTTTCAGTGTCTCACATCAAAGTATATACTTTGTGTGATTGGATGTGACGATGAAAAGCCTTGAAGTTGAGTGATTTAAGTTCAGATTGTTATTGTGGGCCGTGGCTGGATGGACTCGTGCCGCCGCAGGCTCCATCTATTTGGCATTCATCATGCTGTATAAAGCTCAAAATGGATTAAAGAGCTGGAGTGTGCCAGGGAGGTGATATAGGGGAGCCATTTAAGCGTTACGCAGTGCCAGAGAGGGTGATAGAGGGACCCATTTCAGAGTAACACGCTGCCAGATTTATAATGGAGTGCAGCCACTCCACCCACTGAATATGCAGACAGATGAATAGTCACACACACAAAAACACACGGAGAAACCTGACATCAGATCATTCTGGCTAGATGACATGAGACGTGTGACGAGCTCCACTACATTCAGCTTTTCTGCACCTCTTTTTAATTGAGATACAAGGAATATTTGTACTTTAATTCTACTATAAAATGAATTAAACTATAAGAAAATTGGGTGTAGGATTTACTTTAAATCAGTTTTCACTTAGAAATTGATAGTGAATTTCACCCAAAATTACTAAGAAACGACAAATAACTAATTAAATTAAACATGAGATTTAGTGAGATGAAGTAGAAAAACTGAAATGGTAATTCCTTGTAAAACGTACTTCAACCATCTTTGTTTTATATATATATTTATATCTATATATATATACAGTATCTCACAGAAGTGAGTACACCCCTCACATTTTTGTAAATATTTTATTATATCTTTTCATGTGACAACACTGAAGAAATGACACTTTGCTACAATGTAAAGTAGTGAGTGTACAGCTTGTATAACAGTGTAAATGTGCTGTCCCCTCAAAATAACTCAACACACAGCCATTAATGTCTAAACCGCTGGCCACAAAAGTGAGTACACCCCTAAGTGAAAATGTCCACATTTTATTCATATGTAATGTCATTAAAAATGAATATATGTATATTAAAATATATAAAAAATATTATTTAAATTTGTAAAGCATTTATACATTATAAGTATACTTGTTTTGTTGCTTTTTTTGTTATTGAATAAGAAAAAAAAGAAACATGCTTCAGATATAAGATTGTCCTATTTTTTTCTGTTTACATTTTAATTTTAGTGAATTTTTAGTAATTTTGTTGTGTATTTTGTCAATTTTGTTATTATTTTATAATGTCTTTATATTTCTTATTCATTTTTATTTACATTTGAGTTATTTTAGCACTTCAAGTTAAACTAAAAAACGAGAAATTATGCTTTGCCAGCTAATTGAAATGAAATAAGTTCAATTTAATATTTTCATTTGTTAACATTTATTTTAATGTTTATTTTATTTAAATTTTTGAATGGTCTTAGTTTTTAATTTTAGTTTTAGTTAATGATAACCCTGCTACACACTCCAGAAACTGATACAGTGACTTTTAAATAAACTCCCATTCAAACCACTTCATTCACACACACACACACATACACACACAGAGAGAGAGAGAGAGATATGTGGAAAGGTAGCAGCACATTCTTCTGCATGACTGCTTTTGATTAAGTTGCTTAATTAGGTGGCAGGTGTTTAATAATGCAGGGGGATTCACACACACACACACACACACACACATACACACACACACACACACACACACACACACTTCAATTAGAGCTGCTGTTGTATGCCAGTGTAAATCTGGATGCGGTTCTGAGCGTGTAAGGTTTCCAGGCATTCACGATTTTGTGTGGGTTTCAAAATGCCTGTGATTTAATCTGTGAAAACCTGTGTGTGTGTGTGTGTGATAGCCATGCAGCAGAAGCCCGTGGTGACTGAGGTTCGAACCCCTACAGACACCTGGAGTGGCTTGGGCTTCTCCAAATCGATGCCCACTGATGCTGTGAAAGAGCTGAGAGCCGTGAGCCGCCGCTGCTACAGACCCTACCACAACCAGCAGGTACACGCATCAATATTTAATTCACATTTATGCATTTAGCAGCCACATTAATCCAAACTAATTTAGGAGCATAAGCACTTTGTTAAAGAGCCAACAATGTTCACTCATTCCACCAGAGGGGATCAGAGAGGGTGAAGGTTCTGGAAAGTCACTTTATGCCACGTTATGAAAGAACAACTAGGTGCTTTGACCGTAGCTGGTGGGGGGGGGGAGACTTTTAGCTTTCTAAATGAGGACATATTATAAACTTTTGTGTCTATACAAAGCTAATTTGGCTTTTCAAAACTCAGTATCAAAGTTCAGCATGTGCGCCGTCAACACAGTAGCATCACAGCAGTGAGTTTTGCACCAACAAACACCACTCACATTTTCTTCCTGACATGTAAAAGTTGTTTTTGACAAAGAATATACCATATACACCAATTTTTGGTTTGTTTATTTGTGTTTTGATTAAAAGTGACAGTAAAGACATTTATAATGTTACAAAAGATTTCCATTTCAAATAAATGCTGTTCTTTAACATTTTCATCAAGGAAAATAAAATGTTTCACAGTTTCCACAACAAATATGAAGCAGCACAACTGTTTTCAATACTAATAATAATCAGAAATGTTTCTTGAGCAGCAAATCAGCATATCAGAATGATTTCTGAAGAATCATGTGACACTGAAGACTGGAGTAATGATGCTGAAAATTCAACTTTGATCGCAGGAATAAATTACATTTTACAATATATCCACATAAAAACACATTTTAAATTCTAATAATATTTCACAGTTTTCACTTTTTTGATGAAATAAATGCAGCCTTGGTGAGCAGAAGAGACTTCTTTCAGAAACATTGAAAATCTTAATTATTCCATTTTTTTTCTTTTGGGATTTTCTCCTCCTTAACATAGAAAAGAGCAACAAACATCTGCGTTTTGTTCCACAGCAGACAAAGTCATACAGGTTTGAAATAACATGAGTAAATTATGACAAAAGTTTCAGAGACTTCTTTCAAAAACATTAAAAAATGTTACCGACCACAAACTTTTGAACAGTAATCTTAGCTTTGCCGTAGCAATAATGGAATGAAGTTCATCAAAGTTACGTTTACATAAACGTGTAACTTCAAATTTCCTGAGTGTAAACATATTACACGCAAGTGTGTGTGTGTGTGTGTGTGTGTGTGTGTGTGTGTTTGTACTAAATGACAGACTGCACAATTACCCACCTGTGTGAGTGTGTGAAGGGTATATGAAAAGATTCATTTCTGATCGGTGGAATACAGTGAGTTTGTACACACACACACACACACACACACACACACACACACGTTTACTTAGCATTCCATAGGCGTAATGGACCGTATATTCTATCGCTCTACACCAACCCTACACCTAAACCTACCCCTTACAGAAAACTTTCTGCATTTTTACAATTAAAAAAAAACTTGTTTACTTTATTTTTAAACCAGTTTTACAAATGAGTACGTCCCCAAAGGGAGGTTTTTGGAGATTTTGTCAGGTTTAGCTCACTTTTGGGTACAAATTTGTCCCCAAAATATGGTTAAGTAGGTACACACACACACACACACACACACGTGTCTGTCATTCAGAGCAGTGTAATCATGGAGTAAAGTCTCTAAACTCCAATCACAGATGTGTATGAGCACACAGTGAGCAGCACATCCCCGTTCCCTTCACTTCCACCCTCATTTCCTCTCCGCTGGGATAATGAGACTCTCTCAATTAAAGATCTCAATGGAAGCGGTTTAGCGCCGCACTGCAGCACTGATTGAATCTGTTTTTGATTGTTACTGCTGTTTGAATCTCATTATTTCTGAGAATAAGTGAAGCCCTGAGTCAAATTGAAAAGTTATTGAAATCTGTTTGTGATGCTTTCTTTCCATTGTGCTTTATCTGTTAGTAAAGGGTTGTTCAATCAAAGATGAACCTTTTGTCATCATTTACTCAAACCTTTATAACTTTCTGTCTGCTGTGGAACACAAAAGCAGATGTTTTGCTGCTCTTTTCTATGTAATCAAAGCAGACAGTGATCAGGAGATGAAAAGTCTTTTCTATATGAATATATTGTAAAATGTAATTTATTTCTGTGATCAAAGCTGAATTTTCAGCATCATTATTCCAGTCTTCAGTGTCACATGATCCTTCAGAAATTATTCTACTATGCTGATTTGATGCTCAAGAAACATTTCTGATTATAACCATTGTTAACAACAGTTGTGCTGCTTCATATTTTTGTAAAAACTTATGCATTTTATTTTTCAGGATTCTTTGATGAGTAGAAAGTTAAAAAGAACAGCATTTATTTGAAACAGAAATCTTTTGTAACATTATAAATGTCTTTACTGTCACTTTTAATCAATTTAATGTGTCCTTGCTGAAGAAAAGGAATGGTAGTTAAGATTGTAAATTGTTCAATTGTAATTATATTTCACAAAATTTCATATTTTATATTTTACTGTATTTTTAATCAAATAAATGCAGAATTGAGGTGAGCAGAAGAGACATACAGTCTTAAAAATAAAGGTGCTTCACGATGCCACAGGAGAACCTTTTTTGTATAAATGGTTCCATTAACATCTGAAGAACCTTTCTGTTTCACAAAAGGTTCTTTGTGGTGAAAGAAGGTTCTTCAGATTATAAAAAGGTAAGAAAGAGATGGTTCTTTGTGGAACCAAAAATGGTTCTTCTACGGCATCGCTGTGAAGAACCCTTTGAAGCACCTTTATTTTTAAGATTGTACAGTAGTAAAACTTGCTGTGTCACATTTAGGCACATGTCCTTTTCAGATTTATTATTATTATAATAGTAGTTTCACAGAAGAACGAAAGTTGTTTTCATTTCTGACTTTTTCATAAGGTTTTTGTCTGGTTGTAGTATTAAATTATTGTATACAATTCATTGAAGTATTATTGTTATACTTATTTTATTATTCGACCTTGCCACAGATATAGTCTTTAATTCTGATATGCCATTAAATGATAGATAGATAGACAGATAGACGGACGGACGGATAGATAGATAGACAGATAGATGGACGGACGGATAGATAGATCGACAGATAGATGGACGGACGGATAGATAGACAGATAGATGGACGGACGGATAGATAGATCGACAGATAGATGGACGGACGGATAGATAGATAGATCGAGGATGGATGATAGATAGATAGATGGATAGATGGACAGATAGATGGACGGATGGATGGATGGATGGATGGACGGATAGATGGATGGATAGATAGATGGATGGATGGATGGATAGACGGATAGATGGACAGATGGATGGATGGACGGAAGGATGGATGGATAGATAGATGGATGGATGGATGGATAGACGGATAGATAGATGGATGGATGGATAGACGGATAGATAGATGGACGGAGGGACGGATAGATAGATGGACGGATGGATGGAGGGACGGATAGATAGATGGATGGATGGACGGATGGATGGATAGATAGATGGACGGACGGCTAGACGGATGGATGGATGAATGGACAGACGGAGGGATGTATGGATGGACAGACGGACGGATGGATGGATGGACGGACGGACGGACGGACGGACGGATGGATGGATGGACGGACGGACGGACGGACGGACGGACGGACGGACGGACGGACGGACGGACGGACGGACGGACGGACGGACGGACGGACGGACGGACGGACGGACGGACGGACGGACGGACGGACGGACGGACGGATGGATGGATGGACGGATGGACGGACAGACAGACAGATAGATAGATAGATAGATAGATAGATGGACAGATGGATGGATAGATGGATGGATAAATAGATAGATAGATGGATGGATAGACAGATAGATAGATAGATAGACGATAGATGGACATATGGATGGATAGATAGACGGATAAATAGATAGATAGATGGACGGATAGACAGCTAGACAGATGGATAGATAGATAGATAGATAGATGGATGGATAGACAGATAGATAGATAGATAGACGATAGATGGACATATGGATGGATAGATAGACGGATAAATAGATAGATAGATGGACGGATAGACAGCTAGACAGATGGATAGATAGATAGATGGATGGATAGATAGATAGATAGATGGATGGATGGATGGATGGATGGATGGATGGATCGACGGATAGATGGACAGACAGACAGATAGATGGATGGACGGACGGACGGACGGATGGACGAATGGATGGATGGATGGATGGATGGATGGATGGATGGATAGATAGATAGATAGATGCACATTTGCACACAAAAACACACACATACTGTGAATATGTTCTCTGGTCTGTCAGATCGATTACCAGACGTTCCTGACGCTCTCTGACGAGGATTTGAAGGAAGTGGGCGTGAACACGTTTGGAGCGCGACGCAAGATGATCCTCGCCATCACGGGTCACTCTCATTAACCAAACTGACGCAGAACTCCACTTGATCATCTTAACATATGGTAGATAAATATAAACACTTGATGAGTTTTCATTTGAAACTTTTCCCCCTCAACAGATTTGAGCAAAAAGAGGAAGTTTCCAGAAGTGTCCAGCATGAAGTCGGGATACCTGGAGGGAGGCGCGAGCGGCCGTCTCCCGTGGATCATGAACGAGGACGCGGCTGCCAAGAGTAACCACTGGTGACGGGACGATGTGACCGCTATAGAGCTTCCTATAATGCCCCTGGGGCCGGTTTGTGCTTCCTGTCATGTGGCCCTCTGGGACCAATCAAAGTGTGACATGATAGATGATTTCCATATAAGACAGAGAGGACAGATGTGCTGTGACTCTCTGAGGAAACATGCAGAGAAGTGTGACCTTCAGCGTGAACCGACCGACTGCCTGGCCAGAACCCACACTTAGTATGCAAGTCTCTGACTCTCTCTACCTCTGTTTCTCTATCTGCTGCACTTCTATGCAAAACTTCATTTCCTTTATGTATTGTTCAAATATGAGAATACTGTACGACTATGCTTTAATGTCAGTTAAATTTGGATCTTTCATTAAATGAGAACCAAAAACACAAAGTTTCCTGTATTAACTTGAAATCATGTTGGATTTTAGAGTTGTGGTGACAAAAATGAATCAATAATAAAAAGTACTTACTGTACTTTTACTGTAAGCATACATTGATTACATGATTACATGTAATGAAATTATTATTATTTTAATGTAAAGTTTTTGTGAGAAAAACTTCATTCAAATTAGTAAAACAATAATTATTTTAATGTAAATAGTTTTCTTAACAAAGCCTTCATTAAAATAAGATATAAAATAATTAATTTCAGTTATTTTTATGACACAAAACCTGCATTGAAATAAATAATTAAATAAGTATCATTTTAATTTCAGTTATTTTTGTGACAAAACCTTCATTAAAATAAGTAATAGAATAATTATTATTTTAATGTCGATAGTTTTTGTGACAAAACCGTCATTGAAATAAGATATAAAATAATTATTTTAATTACAATCATTTTTGTGACACAAAACCTTCAATGAATTAAATAGTTATTATTTTAATGTACATTTTTTGTGACACAAAACCTTCATTGAAAAAAGTTATAAAATAATTCTTATTTTAATTGAAATCTTTTTTGGACACAAAACATTCATTAAAATAAGTAAAACATTATTATTTTAATTGAAATAATTTTTGTGACACAATCTCAGCCAATAGAGGGCGCTCTGTCACTGTCTGTGCCTCTGAGAGCTTCAATTTTGTGCATTAAAACTCTCCATGAGAATACTTTTTCCTAGGAAATGAGCAAATGATGTAATTTCATAACCTTGAAAATTACCAGCTCGGCAGTGTTCTCTGTTAAATAAATATACTGTGTGCTAAATTAATAATTAGCTGCTTTTATTCAGCAGAGAAAAATATGAAACCGCTCTCAATATTTTGGCGATGCACCCCAGTGCACAAGTGAAAGTTTTCAATTAAAATTATCTGTTGTGAGTGTGCTCAGCGTTTCTCTCATTTACAATTTAATGCATCTCTCGTCTGCATGTCATTCAGCTGGATTTCTCAAATACATCATGCGGATTTCAGCTGTGTCAATATCTTGGCTGTGGCTGATGGGGATTTTCACACTCTAACACTTTAAAAGAGTAAAATGTTAACAGCACATAATCAGAAACCGCACTGACCTGCATTACCCACGTTAAAATATTGCCACTTAACATTAACAGCATTAAGCCAGTGGAGTGGAACGGAATAAATTAAACACACATACAGCTCTGCTTGGCACAGAGTAACTGTCTCGTGTCCATGAGTGTCTCGCCACAAGACATTCAGTGTTTTAATGATGACAACTCATGAATCAGTCACTGCAAGGTTAGAACCGTCAACCTTTTATTTACCACCAGCACAAACATTTAACCAGTCACAAAAAGACTGAGTTTGTGTGACTGTAGTGCTGATGCACTAATGCACACACAACTGTCATTAGTTCCATTACAATGCATTTATTGATAACTTATATTGCATTAAGTTGTTTTAAAATGTCCAGCATGATGTATTAAAGTAGAGCTCTCTAAATTGTCTTTACACAATTAAGTTAAGGCTGCTACATATTCTGTGTACAGATTTAATGCTGCATAAAAGCCAGATTAATGCAGCTCTTATCGACCTCAGAGCTGGCTTAGATGTTGTTTTGCTTAAGCAGTAGTCATTTTTATTTATAATTCCACATTTTCATTTGTTTTGTGTGTGTGTGTGTGTATATATATATTAAATTAAATTAAATTCATGCATTTAGCAGACGCTTTTATCCAAAGCGGCTTACAGTGCATTCAGGCTATACATTTTTTTTTTACCAGTATGTGTGGAACACACTGGGAATTGAACCCACGACCTTTTGCGCTGCTAACGCAATGCTCTACCACAGAGAGAGAGAGATACACACACACACACACACACACACACACACACATGTACACGCACACACACACAGGACTCGCCATAGGCGTAATGGTTTTTCTACTGTACAGACTGTATTTACTATCGCCCTACCCCTCACAGGAAACTTTCTGCATTTTTAGATTTTCAAAAAACGTAATTCTGTGTGATTTATTAGCTTGTTTACCCATGGGGACCTCAATTTAGGTCCCCACCGTGACACAAGTCCCCATGAGTCTGTGTGTATTCAGGTTTAAGCCCCCACCAGAATAGAAACACACACACACACTCACACACACACACATAAAAAAGCTTAGTGCCGCTTCTCCAGGTTACATGTCAGCCCTGTTATCATACAATACCATATAGAATAAAAATAAATACATAAATTCATATAAAACAGCTATATTACCACCATCTTTTCAGGCTATGAACTCTTCAAGGACAAGTAAATGTCTTCTTTATATTGTGTTGGATTTGTTGGAATGGAATGATTTTAAACTTTTATAGTTTTGAAAAAGGCACCCATTTTGTGGAATGAGTCTCAAAACATTATTTCTGCATTAGTAATTTAGGTTACGAAAATGTTACATTCTCTGAACATTCAAACGGGGTTTTTATTTTTTAAAACTATCAATTAAAATTATCTGTTGTGAGTGTGCTCAGCGTTTCTCTCATTTACAATTTAATGCATCTCTCGTCTGCATGTCATTCAGCTGGATTTCTCAAATACATCATGCGGATTTCAGCTGTGTCAATATCTTGGCTGTGGCTGATGGGGATTTTCACACTCTAACACTTTAAAAGAGTAAAATGTTAACAGCACATAATCAGAAACTGCACTGACCTGCATTACCCACGTTAAAATATTGCCACTTAACATTAACAGCATTAAGCCAGTGGAGTGGAACGGAATAAATTAAACACACAAACACACATACAGCTCTGCTTGGCACAGAGAAACTGTCTCGTGTCCATGAGTGTCTCGCCACAAGACATTCAAGTGTTTTAATGATGACAACTCACGAATCAGTCACTGCAAGGTTAGAACCGTCAACCTTTTATTTACCACCAGCACAAACATTTAACCAGTCACAAAAAGACTGAGTTTGTGTGACTGTAGTGCTGATGCACTAATGCACACACAACTGTCATTAGTTCCATTACAATGCATTTATTGATAACTTATATTGCATTAAGTTGTTTTAAAATGTCCAGCATGATGTATTAAAGTAGAGCTCTCTAAATTGTCTTTACACAATTAAGTTAAGGCTGCTACATATTCTGTGTACAGATTTAATGCTGCATAAAAGCCAGATTAATGCAGCTCTTATCGACCTCAGAGCTGGCTTAGATGTTGTTTTGCTTAAGCAGTAGTCATTTTTATTTATAATTCCACATTTTCATTTGTTTTGTGTGTGTGTGTGTGTATATATATATTAAATTAAATTAAATTCATGCATTTAGCAGACGCTTTTATCCAAAGCGGCTTACAGTGCATTCAGGCTATACATTTTTTTTTTACCAGTATGTGTGGAACACACTGGGAATTGAACCCCCGACCTTTTGCGCTGCTAACGCAATGCTCTACCACAGAGAGAGAGAGATACACACACACACACACACACACACACACACACATGTACACGCACACACACACAGGACTCGCCATAGGCGTAATGGTTTTTCTACTGTACAGACTGTATTTACTATCGCCCTACCCCTCACAGGAAACTTTCTGCATTTTTAGATTTTCAAAAAACGTAATTCTGTGTGATTTATTAGCTTGTTTACCCATGGGGACCTCAATTTAGGTCCCCACCGTGACACAAGTCCCCATGAGTCTGTGTGTATTCAGGTTTAAGCCCCCACCAGAATAGAAACACACACACACACTCACACACACACATAAAAAAGCTTAGTGCCTCTTCTCCAGGTTACATGTCAGCCCTGTTATCATACAATACCATATAGAATAAAAATAAATACATAAATTCATATAAAACAGCTATATTACCACCATCTTTTCAGGCTATGAACTCTTCAAGGACAAGTAAATGTCTTCTTTATATTGTGTTGGATTTGTTGGAATGGAATGATTTTAAACTTTTATAGTTTTGAAAAAGGCACCCATTTTGTGGAATGAGTCTCAAAACATTATTTCTGCATTAGTAATTTAGGTTACGAAAATGTTACATTCTCTGAACATTCAAACGGGGTTTTTATTTTTTAAAACTAGTTTTAGTGGTTTTTGTGAACGTTAAAGAAAACGTTCAGGGAACGTTACATTTTATTTTATTTTTTTTTTTTTTTCCAAACATTATGGGAATGTTACTTTTAAATGGTCCCTAAACAGATAAACATCCAACCAAAAACGTTCCATAATGAATAGTGCTTGCACTTGAATCCCTTATGCACAGAATTCCAAAGCAGTGTTTATCATATTATTTTAATATATTATCACGATGTAGCGCAAATTTACCATTTACAGCACTTTGTTATTCTTCGAATTATTTACCAATCGGAAACGTCGCACATTCAAGAAAAACAGTGAACTCCCGCTTTGCAAAATAAGGAGTGCTAGACACGCATTAGAAGCGGCTTCTTTGCAGTGTGCAAAGCTGGCGTAAGTGCAGTGGTGCTGAACGGACAGCTCCCTCATTGGGGAACACCTACAAATATCCGTCTCGCGCGTTATGTTTACTACCAATGAGCTTATCTATTGACTTATTTATTCTCTTTAATTAAAAACGAGCCAATATTGCCATCACTCTCTCTCCCCGCAGCTGAATTCACTGCAGTGGACAGTTCAGAGCCACTACAGGCTGATTCCAAATGAAAACCGAGGCTGGTTTTAATTAGTTAGCAGTGATCAGGGAGCGTGTATTGATTCCCTCCGCACAGCACTGGATGCTTTACAGCTTCAAGTCAACAACACCTGCCTATTACCTCCAGCACACCCCAACCTCCGCGTTTATTCCCGAGCGAATGCACCACTCCCTTTGTTCTGAGACTGAAAGACTTGGTGCGTCCCAAATCGCATACTTTTGTCGTATAAATAGTGCGAGTAGTGTGTTATCACAGGTAATTCCAAGAAGTATAAGTGCACTTTAAATCCCCGGATGATGCACTTAAATAAGTGTGGAATGTTGGACACTCAATGCACCCAACTGTCGCGAAGGGGAAGGGGCTATCAGACTCCGATTATTAATGAGAAAATAACCTTATAAAATCCATACACTACATAGCGTGTATAGTGCGTCATTTGGGACGCGGTTTATGTGTGAGCGACGCGACAAAACTGCAACCTTGATGTTATAGCACAAAGGTTTTGATAATTCTAACAACTGCGTTTGGTTCGGTCATTAGAGCTGGAGTCACGTGATTATCATCTGTGGCGTCGCGTCGCTCAGTGTAGAGAAGAGAGAGAGAGGGAAACTGGGCGGAGTCAGGGGCGGAGTCAGGGTGCAGAGTGGGCGGAGTCGCTCACCGTTCCGTTACACGGGTCCGTTTCTCCCGGTTGTGTTCAGTGCAGCAGCTGCGAGGACCTGAGGAAACTCACTCACTCACTCACCCTCCCGTGTCTCGGATACTTTACGGTCCCGCCCGGTCTCCAGTCACCCGCTCGGGAGCAGAGAACCGTCCCGTCTTGAGGTGAGTAAAGCGAATGATGAATAACGTCTGTATCAAATGAGGCCAATTAACGCAGACGCCAGTGGAGCTCGCGCTGAAGGAGCGCTCGCGGGAAGCGCGACCGTTAAAAAGTCCGGTGTCAGATTTTCTCCTCAGGGACGATTAATCATATCAAATGGACATATTCAGCGGATTTATAATCCAGAAATAATCCGCGCCCTTCCTGTGAGGCTCTGGAGTTGTTTATTGGATAAGAATCAGACCGTGAGCTTTTTAATGTTTCATATTTTGGGCGTGTTTAAAACGAAGTCCTCTCAAACTCGAAAAGGCTTGACGTCTTTACCTCAAGTGCCCCGCGCCTAATTTCACCTGCTCTCTATTTCTCTTTCTCTTGCAGATGATGCTGAGTCTCGGTCTGTTCGCGTCTCTGGTGGTTCTGGCGGTGTCCGTTACCGGCGGCAGTGACGGAAACCCGCTGGACAACGATAAGTGGATGAGCACCGTGTCCCGGTACGACAAGAGCAAATACTGGAACAAATTCCGCGACGTGAGTTTTTCGCTGCATTTCCTTCTGCTGCTGGGACACTTCTGCTTTCTGTATAGGGACCAAATGTCCCCTGAAAGGTCTTGTGCAGTCATTATAATTAGCTTAATTTAGAAACAAAAGTCAAAGGAAGGGCTTTGTGTGTTGTTAGCCTGCTTGGGAGTTCTCTAAATATCTCCTGAAGAACGGCAAAGCGTACTGAACATTATTGTGTTGGCTTTGCTACAAGCCAAAAGCTTCACAAATTGGCAACATAGTTTGTTCATTAAAATGTATGATGCCAAAAGGTGTATTTTAGGGTGAGGGGTTGTTTAGTGTTTATAATGCACCTAATGCATGTTTGTGTTTGGCTGTATTTACATTTGTATACTGTTCCTACTATGTAGTGTGCAAGCATAAAATTCCTTAAAATTACTGTTAGATAGTATTTTTGTGCTTTTTCAGGTGAATATATTACTCACAACCTGTCAAGTAATGGTAGACGATGAATATGCACACTTATCTACTAGCTATATTGCATGCAAACGGCCGTAGGTCAGATTATGTCTGAACGCATAGTAGCATGAGAGCTGTTAGATTTGGAAAAATGAAAACAAAACAAAAAATGGCAGGGAACTGTGAGAGCTTTTCAAAAGTATGCCAGTGCTAAAGGTATCAAGAAAGTTGTTAGTTGTGGTTAAACTTACTTGTTTTATGATTTTGTACCAGGGCCATAAACTATGGAAGCTCGTTTCTGCCCTGGGATAAAAAAAACATGTTTTACTTCACAGATTACCAGTGATTTACCACAACTTTTCCCTCACAATTTTCGCAATTCTGATATTTTTTTCTTGCAAATCTTTATATTGCACATTTCTTTTTTCTCAGATATAAATTCACACTTAATTACCATTTTTATTCTATAGTGGAACCCCCCCCCCCAAAAAAAAAACTGAGATGGAAACCAAGAAAAATGTCATAATTCTGAATTTGTCTGCCATTATGACCCTTTTCCCCTCAGAACGCTGAAAAAGTAATAATTGTGAGTTAAAAAGTTGCAATTTAATTAAATTCCTTAAAATTACTGTTAGATAGTATTTTTGTGCTTTTTCAGGTGAATATATTACTCACAACCTGTCAAGTAATGGTAGACGATGAATATGCACACTTATCTACTAGCTATATTGCATGCAAACGGCCGTAGGTCAGATTATGTCTGAACGCATAGTAGCATGAGAGCTGTTAGATTTGGAAAAATGAAAACAAAACAAAAAATGGCAGGGAACTGTGAGAGCTTTTCAAAAGTATGCCAGTGCTAAAGGTATCAAGAAAGTTGTTAGTTGTGGTTAAACTTACTTGTTTTATGATTTTGTACCAGGGCCATAAACTATGGAAGCTCGTTTCTGCCCTGGGATTAAAAAAACATGTTTTACTTCACAGATTACCAGTGATTTACCACAACTTTTCCCTCACAATTTTCGCAATTCTGATATTTTTTCTTGCAAATCTTTATATTGCACATTTCTTTTTTCTCAGATATAAATTCACACTTAATTACCATTTTTATTCTATAGTGGAACCCCCCCCCCCAAAAAAAAAACTGAGATGGAAACCAAGAAAAATGTCATAATTCTGAATTTGTCTGCCATTATGACCCTTTTCCCCTCAGAACGCTGAAAAAGTAATAATTGTGAGTTAAAAAGTTGCAATTTAATTTGGTCCATATTGGAAACAATAAACAGAACTGAGAGCATAAACTCATAATTCTGAGGCTACTAAGTCTATAATTACTTTTTTTTTCATCAGAACTGTGAAAAAAGTGTAAATTCTTAGATAAAAAGTCGCAATTGCCATTTTTATTCTGTAGCCGAAAATAAAACAAAACAGAATTGTGAGATGTAAACCCAGAATTCTGAGGAAAAAAAGAATTCTGAATTTAAATCTCACAATTATAAATTGTGAGAAAAGTAAGTATTGTGAGATGAAAAGTCGCAATTACCATTTTTTATTACATAGGGGGGGG